TGTATATAGTGGTCTATCGCCCCGGGCCACTACCCTTTCTTCTATCACATTGAGTCTAGGTGTCACACTCCCTACATTTTCAAATTTGCTAGGACACATACACTTTTCACACCAAATCACTCTACAGGTCCACTTTCCCTGTCAACAACGATCGGAGATACTTCGATGATGATCGGAAGTCCTGCCGCTCAACAGATAACTCAATTATTATCTGCAGGCCACACACCAGTAAACTTTACTGATGTTGTGACAACGGTTACTACCCCTGTAACCGGACAACCCTAACCCTACCAACCTTGCAGTCATTCAGCAGCGTTGCTTGGATTCCACCATTAAACCATGGGTGCACGAAGCAATAACCGCTCGGGCATAGGAATTCAGGACCACCCCGACGCTTCTTAATGACATCATCAAACCCTAACTCAACCCTCATCCTCCCACTCCCAACAGCAACTCACCCCAATCCTTATCCTATCCCATTTACAATGCCATTCGATGACCTAGCATCCATTATGCTAGCGAGAATTCTTGAAAACGAAGAAGCTCCACTCACTGACAAACAAAGAGCTATTTTTGTAATACCTGAAACCGAAAGCACATGCCATGACAGTCTCCGCGGTCACAAACATTTGCATGAGGACTCCAATGATTCGGCTCCTCATGAGGGGGAGAATAAGAGGCAACGGATACTCGAGCGTGATGCTTCATCTAGCCAACAACCCCAAACTTGAACCCTCAAACAACCTAGATTAAATGCAAGAATTCTCTCAAGGATGCAAATTTTAAGGGGGAGTTTTCAAAGTTCTCCTCCCAAGCGCCAAACATCGTCAAAGACATCCTACTCAGTGCTCCAGTTGAGGGGGAGTACAAAGAGAGAATAAAGAAACATATCAATGAGAGAGATGTCCTAATGGCTTAGCAAACCCAACTAAGCCTACCCAAGGGACAAAGCCGAGAGTGAGTGAGTAACTGAGTGAATATTATGAGAGTGAGGAAGCAGAAGGCTCCGATGAGCAAGAAGACAATAATTAATGACAAATCTGCTACCTCAAATGAGCTATCAATCGATGAATCAATCCCAGTCACTCAAATACTCCGGACAATCCCCATAGGTTCAGGACTGAATTTATTCAGATCCCGGGTAGAAGTCGCTGCATTTTGTCCAAACAGCGCGTGCACAACCCTACCCTAGACCACTCACCTGTCTCCCAAAAGACAGGTGTTTAATCACTGTTCACGGGGAACCTCATCTCTTATCACCGTCTCCTTCTGAGGCGACTGATACTGACTACAGTGGCCCTCAGCCCCATGCCACTGAACTTTCATTGATCACGTTGTGTCTAGTTATCTCACTCCTAAATGTTTTGAAATTTCTAGGACACATACACATTTTAGAGTCAGTTGCAGGTCCAAGTGACCATGCGAGAACTTCCATAGGCTCATCTTCTATAGATGCAGACCGATGATTGGATGGAAGTCCTGATGTTGCAACATAGAAATCACCAACATTTTCAGGCCATCATTTAGAGTTCATCTCTATAGTGATGATAACGGGTGTCTACACGACCCCGGGGGGCTAGAATTATCCATGCTGATCCTAGTGATCATGCCATAACAACCAGAGTGACATCTACTTCAGATGTTTCACAATGATTGGTTGGAAGTCCTGTTAGAGCTACAATGTTTCCATCATCATATACAGGCCACAAATCAATGTTTACATTGATGTTGTGTTAACGGAACACCACAGTGTCTCCGGTTCTTATCTTTTCATTTTTTTTGCATTTTCAGTTTTCCAGAATAAAAGAATAAAGGCAAGACATCCCGATTCATTGGATTGTCATAAAGGGGGAGAGTGGTCCACACGCTGTTTACTCTCAAAAATCATTCTCAGACACTTCTCTCCTCCAACTAAAAATGACGGCTCTCCACTCTTTCAGATTCATCAACTACCAAGTCAGCTTCAGATCTAATGGTCAGCTATGCTCACAAGTCAACCATCATTTTCCGCTGTGCTACCGACAATTGTTCCTCAAAAGCATTCACGATCGAATAGTCAGAAAAGGCTACATTCTGGAGGATACATAGGCCGGATGATCAAATATTGAAGATGAATTCCTTGTGCGCCATATGACTTCATTCATTCATTCATTCTAGAAGGCGCCATACGACTTCATTCAAGCTGATCAAGAGCAGTTTCTGGAAAGCAAGGATTAAAAGCAAGATTTTGAAGAATCCCTCAACTCCCGGCATCAAAGAACAAATTGAATAAATAACACCAAGGGGGAGATTGTAAGGATTTTTTTTCATGAAGCCTTTCCAAGAAGATAAAAGAAGTTGAGACCAAAGAAAGAATAAATTGAAAGAATTTGACCGAATGAAGGCGGTGCTAGACGCAATCAACGCTCGACTCGAAAAGAGGAGAATGCTGCGCCAATATGAACATGCTCTAGCACTGCAAAACAACTACTACAAGAGGCAGAAGAATCCACAAGAGCCAACAACGGACATCTGATCACAAAGGGGGAGAATGTTAGAGATATTTTTAGTGTTGTGATCAATGTATTTTATCTAGCCTCTTGGTAGTATTTATTGTGTATTTAATAGGCCTTAAATGGAAAAGGCTACTAAGCTAAATTAGGATTGGGCCTCCTAAAAAGGAGAGCCCATATCATTGTAAAACCTACCATTCTAAGGAGGCTATAAATAGACCCCTTAGGAATGGCTAGGTTAAGCTTTCCTCCCTTAGAAAAATTCCCTGCGCATAGAATAGAGGCTACGGAAGTTTTACGCTACATGTTCTTCATCTTTATGTAAACTTTCTGGCTATCAATGGAAAGCTTCTTCTACTCCTATTAATCAGATCTTATACATTATAGAGTAGAAATAGGGACCAACAAAGGCTGAGTAAGCGGGTAAAATAAAATGAAGAAGATGTGGTGAAGCATGATATTGATCAGTATTTATGAGACAAGGTGATGTTCATTATGTAAAGAAGTGTTGGAGATGAATCTAGTGAACTTTCAAAAGGATCGTGTAAAATAAACTTTAAGCAATACTTTTTTTTTTTTGCTTTTTAGGAAGAGAAGAGTTTTATTAAAAACAAGTGAGGAACATTACATCAAAGAAATAAGAAAATAACAAAAAATAAGAGTAAAAGATCCAAACTAGCCAACCTAATTAACGACAAAAAACCTCCCTAGAAGCCCTACGAGCTCAGTCAAATTGGTGGTAAAACTCCATTTGTGATTGAGATCTAGTGTTCCTTAGATGCGAGCGTTGATGTTTTTTTCTGTACACTTTCATTTGAGTGTTTAAATTCTGTGTAGGTAAGCAATTATCCCTGGTGACAAACATAGCTTTATTGCAAATATTGTGATTTGAATCGGAGTCCCATAGTTCCTCAACCGATGAAATAGGAGTCCTTTTCTCACCTTCTGAAGCATGATCAAGAAATTCATCTCCCGGGCATGGGAAGATTTGCTCGGTGAAGACTCCCTCACTATCAAACGCATTGACTTCTGGATTACCACGTCCATTAGCTATCTCCGCATCAGTATACCTCTCCTTCAAAGAGTCCTGATTATCCAAATAGGAGGCAATAATTCTTTCGAATTCTTTAATTAAGAATTGAGAAAGTGAATCCACCCCATTAGTCATTGTGATCTGGAAGAAATCCTTAATGTTTGCTAGAGAAGAGTCAAACTCTGGTACAATCACAGATCTACAACGTTCCTCAGGAGAATGAAAGGCCGGATATTTCTCAGAAGAAGTAGAATGCTCAATATCAACTTGAAGTAAATACCGCGATATATAAAATTCATTGTGGTAACAATGACCCTCATCCAACCAGGGAGTGAATTCACGTGTGGAGTAAGAATCAATGATATTTGAAGATACCTCGCATGGAGCCGGTTGAATAGCTAAAGATTGTTGTTTGCTATGAAAATGTGAATGATTGCTTTCCAAAATACAATTTGAATAAGTGGAGAGTGATAGATGATTTCAATAGCTTGAAAATTCCCCGATCCGCTTAAGGGGATGCAAATGTGTTAAGGGGTGGTGATATTATTTCCAACTTTGAAGATGAACCTTGTCGTTAAGAGCTAGATTTTATGAAGACATCGAATAATGTAGAACAATGTGTATAGAAAAATGAAGCCATTAAGTTTAGATGAACACGTTTGACATTTTTATAGTGTTCATGTAAATGTTTTCAATGCTCGAGAAAATTGAATTAAGTATGTTAGTAAAGATTACAAGGCTAATGTGATTTAGAATTGCAATCTAAGTGCTTTAAATGTTTAATTTGTTGCTTTGTTAATCAACTACAACTTAACACTTGTGGTGGGTGCAAAGTTAATTGATAATGTCTCATTATTATTCTTCTATGTCTTTCAATTGTATAATTTTGTTTCACTTCATGCAAGCATGGTTCATATGTGCACTATTAATTGGACAAACTACTTTAAATCAGAATAGAACATAATATCGAAGCACAACATGGATAACAATCAATTTATTGATTCTTTGGATGTAATGAAACTGTTTTAGGAAATGTCATGATCGGCACATATATTACGAAAGAAAAATCAACGAAAACTGAGTGTCGTGAGATACATCGAGTCTAAAATAAAGAATGTGAATGATTAGGAGTAGATGATTAAGTTCTTTTAAAAACGGTTTCATTATTTTGCTAAAACATTGACATTGTGTTTCCAAATATACTAATCATCGAAATAAATCTATTAGAGTAAGACATATACATCCAAACTATTCTAAAACAAATAAGCATATTTTGAAAGCCTACCATTTCTAAGACCCCTCACAAGTCACAACAATGATGTTCCTAACATCATCTCCCAAACACTTATTGATGTGTGCTAGACTGCTAGAGTTAAAATTGATATCATTTGGTCAAATAACTAGAATGCCATAGATTGACATAAGATAGGAATGGCTGCCGGATAGATATACAACGTTAGATAACGTTAGATTTTGCCAGTTATAGAAGGAATGAAAACACTATTTAAACATAGGGAATTTGGGACATTATCTCGTTACATCACAGGCTTCCGGTCCAAACAAAAATTGTCACGCAAAATCCCGTTTGGATATCGGAACCCACCAGCCGACTTTCCTTTCAGGACAGCATAAACTCCCCCAGTTTTTGGCACTCACCCAAACCGTACGCAGCAAATAAACAAACCTCAGACTCAACATAAGTCTCCGCTCACTGAACCACACCTGTAATGACGCACGTGCCTTTTTGACTCCCACACGACTCGAAGCCGAAGCTTCGAAAAAAACCCAGCGATTCCAAGCCCTAATCTTTCTCTCTCGCTCATCGCTTTCTCTCTCTAGGACTCCGATCACCCACTGTTCGAAGCTCGTGCTTGCGGAATCCGACCCCAATTTCTTGAAATTCGGAGCTTTTTCGATTGAGGTATTGGTTAATTTGGGTTCCCGATGTTTGTTTCCCGCATTTATCGCGCTCATTGGGGTTTTAGCTGTTAGATCACGATTCCGCGTAGACTGTCGATCTTGAAGTTCTGATTTTTACTTGATGTGGATTGGATTGTGTTCTTTGTAGCATTGTGATTGTTTTCATCGTATTGTGAATTTGAGTTTTAATTTCGCATTAAGTGGGAGTTGATTTTACTGATTTGCTTCTTGATTGATAAATCGGTAAGTTGATTGTACCATTGGAGCAAGTAGAAGCTCAATTAAGCTTATTCTTCCTGCAGAGTTCAATCATCTGGTGTGCCAGAGTGGAATTCATTGAGTTTAGGACTGAGGTTGCCTGTGGGAATGAAGACAAATAAGTGCTAAGGATTTGGCTCCTTAGCATTTTGATAAATATATTATCAGTTCGAAACTTGAAAAGAGTTAGGGATTCAAAATGCCAGGAACTCGGCATTGCCCCCGGATTGATACTCATGAGCTGAAACTTCGGATAGAGAGGAAGATCGGCAGACAAAGATCAGAGCAATATTTTCATCTGTTAGGCAGATATTTAAGCTTAAAGCTAAACAAATCTGAATTTGATAAGCATTGTGTCAGTTTACTGGGGAGAGATAACATCTGTCTTCACAATGCGCTTATCCGAGCGATCATTAAGAACTCATGTGTAGCTGACACGGCCCCTCCACCTAATGAAAGCAAAAAAGCCAGAGCTTCCTTGAATGTGAAAGTACCAAATGGGTATGACAGAGGCAGTCTTCAGTCACTATGTCGGGACGTGTTTCCTCAGTCTCCTAAGAAGGGTAGGACACCCACACATCGTGACCGCAAGTTCAAAGACCGGCCAAGTCCTCTTGGACCAAATGGAAAAGTTCATACGGCTGTATATGAAGACTCTGCTCAGAAAGTACTAGAACAGCAAAGTGCAACTGAGCTGCTGTCTTTGGGAAGCAGGCCACCAGTTGAAGTTACTTCAGTTGAAGATGGAGAAGAGGTAGAGCAGGAGGGAGGACCCGCTATTTATAGCAGGATTCCTGTCACGGCTCCATTTGGTGTCTCTCTGATCTCAAAGGCAACAAAGAAATTTTTACATCATGGAGCAGAGTCTGTCCTTCCCACAGAAACTTGCCATATCACTGGTGAGTTACCTGATTCAAGTTCTCTCAAGAAAAGATTGGAACAGAAGTTGGAGGCAGAGGGACTGAAGATGTCAACTGATTGTGTTAATCTGTTAAACAACGGGCTGGATGCTTATCTGAAGAGATTAATTGAACCATGCTTGTCACTAGCTGCATCAAAGTCAAGACAGAAGACTGTTCAACATCAAGCTGTATCCACTTTAAACGGGATGAGAACTATGAGATATGTTCAGAAGCCATGTGAATGCTGTGTGTCATTGTTAGACTTCCGTGTTTCTGTGGAGTCAAATCCTAAAATTCTAGGAGAAGACTGGCCCACACAGCTTGAGAGGGTTTGCTTGCGTGCATCAGAAGAACCTTTGATTGACTAGGTGCAAGATTTGTAACTTAAGCCCAACAGAGAATTTCGATATGAATCACAAGATCATTATCTGATCTAGTAGTGGTGCTGCAGAAGGTTCTCATAAGCAAAGGATAACTACTCAGCTATGTGGTTCCAAGATAGAGAAAAGTTTTGGATCGAGGTTTTTTAGGTTGTATATGCATCTCAGAGCTGATTATTTCTGGATTGAGGATGATTACCTCATAAAGTATGGAGATATTAATACCTGTAAGCTTGTAGTAATTATTACAAATAGTTAAGTGGGCATCACGACCATTACCAACTAATGCCATTAGCTTGTTCATCTTTCTTATCTTAATAATAAAGGTTCATTTTTTAAAGTATTCAAACTCTCTTTAATTTTAGTTCTCTCACTTCTCTACCCCCCATTAATGCTAATTAAAGATCATTAATCGATGCTAGGTCATTTTTTGTGCACAATAATACTCAATTCATTTAGTTTGCTGAAATTCATTTAATAAGATCTCAGTAAGTATGTTGTTCTCTTTTCTAATCCTCAGTGTTTCTTTCTATATCCAAGAAGTCAAGTAGATAGGTGTCATTTGGATCCGACTCAAAAATGGTAATCAAGCATAGGTGTGCCTGGTAGTTCAGTTTTTTTTCAGATTTAAACCGATGTTTACCTTTAGTTAACTTTTTTTAGAGTAAACAGCATGGCTACAATCTAATAACTTGAAAATGTTTGATTAGATTGTATGGCTAATCGGCTATAATCAAATGAGTCGCAACTCAAGTTACATCCTTTCTTCCATTTTCATTGGAGTTTTGCATTTTCCATCCATGATTCAACTATATATTTAACTTTAATAACAAACTATGCCCTACTATTCTGTGCCGTGTATGATCTTGAGAAAGAAGATGTTTATAAGTTGTGCATTTGTTTTTACTAACCTGTTTCCAGTCAACTAGTGAGCAAACAGTTAATTTCTCATACTTCTATACCCTCCCACAAAAAGAAATTAAAAGAGTTTTTTCATATCGACATGAAGTGCATTCTTGACTCTGTGATGGCTGTTGGAGGTATGGAAGATATTGATCAATTATGGTATACTTAGACTGATTGCTCTAATCATTCTAACACTAGGAGTAATAGCTGTTTATTGGTGATTGTGATTTTTCCTCAAGCTATTTATGGGAACACGAATTAGATTTCAAGAGAAGTCGTGAAATGCTCCAAATGTCACCCAAAAATAGTCATGTTTCGTCAAAGTATAAGTTTTAGTTTCGTACTACCTCCGTTCCATATTAAATGTCTCGTTTTAGTTTGGCACAACTATTAATGAAGTGGTTTAAAAGGAAAAGTTGTGATTCAGATTTGGGTATAATAAAGTGAATGATATGGACCATATATTTCTTACCAAAAAGGAAAGTAAGACAACCAAAATGGGATGTCGGGAGTATCAATTAGCAATCTTACTTATATTTATAATTTTTATTTTCTTGATTAAATTTAACTTAGTACAGGGGTAAGGCTGCATACATCCGACCCCCCTTACTCCACCGTAGGTGGGAGCCACTGGGGTAATGATGATGATTAAATTTAACTTGCTTAACTTGTTTTGAACATTTTTATTTGGAAAAGTGACATTAATAGAATGAAATTTAACTCGTATGTCAAAAAAGAACTCTTTTGGGACTAAAATAAGATGTTAAATGGGCCTCTTTTTTTTACGGGAGGAGAACATCTGTAGATATTCATGGCAGCATGCAACAGTAAGGATGATAACAGGTTTGCTTCAATATAGCGACTTTTACCTCTTCATCTTTCTGTTATCTGCATGCTCTCATTTGATGATTATTACTTGTGCTGTTGCGCTGGGTTCAAAAGAACCAGGACTGGATTCAGACAGTGTTTATCTGACATGCTCTCTTCGTTGCAAAGGTGCTTTGTTCTTGTGTTTCCATCGTACGTATTCATTCTAACCCATTTTTTATGCCACTCTTTCCTTTTTTCTTGTTTCAACATAATGTCAACTCTCCTAATTTAACAGCGGCTAGCTTTTTACTCTCTCGTTACACTTATTTTCTCTCTTAATGTTAAAATATTGTATGTATTAACAACTATTATTGCTTATTGTGATCTTTTTCTCAGATTCACCATTCATTTCAAAATAATGTCAAATGGTCTTTTACCCTCCCCTCTCATTGCCAACCAAGGGGGAATCTTATTTCTCTCTCGCAAATAAACAAAAAAAATGTTTTTCCTTCAGGTCCTCTCCCCTCCTTAAAAGTAAACACCATCTAAATTTGTCATTTTGGCTACAGTTATGTACTAAATTCCCACCTCAAGTTACTAAAGGACTAAGCATACTCAATGGGTAACTAGGAAACTAAAACTTTATCTTCTCTGTTAAAAAATAAAAATTACAAGTTCTAGTAATCTAAATAAACTCGTCATTGTCTAAACCCTAAAGCACAGTACTTTAATTGCTCCAAATGCAGTTTACAGAACTATAGGTTTTCTAGCACTTCAACTACTCCAACCCTTCCAGTTCAATTTTAGAAATACCCTTGAATAAGATCACAAATACCACCAGTCTACCACTGCAAAGCATGCCAACCTTAGGGTTTAAACAAAGGCACTACTTACCAACTTCATCAATTGCCTTTAACAATCACAAACAACGTGTGTAAATTCAACATTAATGGCTTTGCTGCAGCTTCTGATTCTGGACTTTAGCATCTCAATTTTCCAGATTCCGTCTGTGTATTCACCATTTGATCATAAGAGCAACTGACAATGTATAGAGGTACTGATTCATGAATCATGACTTGTGACTTTTTGAGCTATGCAGCTATTACGCATATATAAGGCAATATTGATGGCGGGCAGCTTGTCTTGAAGACAATTTTCACTCAAGAGTGCTTCTGAAGTTTGATGAACAGAAAAATTGATCTAAGATAAAATATGGTTGCAATATACTCCATCAGTCTTAAAAAAAGGCTTTTTTGAAGAACTCTTTTGGCCCAAAAAGAGTCTGATTTTAAAAGTCAAATTTCTTTTTCTATTAAAATCCATGTTAAGCCAAGTTGCATGATGGTTTAGTCAATTACTTCAAATATCTAGGGGTATAAATACACATTCATACCTTAAAAAAGGTTTTACCTTGATTGAGTTTGACTAAAACTCAAAAGTTGTAAAATTGTACCTTGCCCCGAATATCTCTCAATATTTTGGTGGAGGGAGTATATATAAGTTTTTTTGTTGAGGGAAGATGAATGTTAGTAATGATTTTGCTGCAAGTGCACATGAATTTGGAATACTACTCTGTAAATTGAAGGCATTATAAGTTGTTTTAGTAAGAAGTTAAGGTTTTGGCAATGAGGAGGAGACAAGATGGGCCTTATAATAAGAAAATAATCATAAGGGTCACCCTTATTTGACAAACTGACAAAAGGAGACAAGAATAGATTTTTTTATGCAAAAGAGAGTCCAAGTGGTAATTCTTGCACCCTTTTCCTTTAAAATTGTGCTAAGAGAACAATGTAACGCACATAGGATGTTTTTAATTCATCATTTTCATCATCATTTTCATTTACCCCAGTGCCGCAAAGGCTCACACCTACCTACGGTGGGGTAGGGAGGGTCGGATGTATGCAGCCTTACCCCTAAACTAAAGCACAAAGAGACTGTTTCCGGATGACCCATAGTGTGAATCGCGTCCAAAATTGCATGGACTGGCAGCTGCTTCATAAGAAAGAAGCGCAGACAGTTTAGTGAGCCGTTTCGCTTTATTCCATCATATTCTCAAGCCAAAAAATAATGAATCTTTGGCTCCATTGCAAATGATGGAAATAATGTTTTTAATTGCACTGAAATTTTATAGTTTGGTCTGCTTTGATCTAGTCGGTTTAAGTGTGGTTTGGTCTGATCTGAATTGGTATGATCTATTTAGAAATGTCGGAGTCTGATCTGGTTAAGACTGGTGTGGTGTGGTGTGGTCTGGGACTGAAAGCGGTCCAAGTAAAAACATTTATAGTGTAGCCAATTATTAGTTGACTATCATGTTATTTGATTCTTCTTTCATCCGGTTTAAGCAACATTTTTTATTTGACATGACATTTTTGGCCTACTGGGTGAAGGGTAAGCGGGGAGCTGTTTTACACCTACTGACTTGCATAACAGTGATTCTATTTTAATATCTGTGCCAAAGTGACCATTAATTCTGCATGTTTCTAGGTAAAGTACGGGTATAAATCTTCAAGTAATCCCACGTTGCACTTAACTTGTAGTATATAGGTTTTCAAAGGGATATCTTCTTATATTAGGTATAGTAGGTTGAAAATCTCTTTTCACATCACCTCTTTGTCATGATAGATTGATTGTAGTTATTTACTTCCTGAAAATATTTACTAGAGCTGTAAGTTCAAGATGGCATAGGAAAAATAAAATTGTTACAGCCCGTGACTGCGTGCAAGGTACTACAAACGGTTTCATCATTGTCTAAGTTGAAAACAACATGGCACCAAAGTCGGATATGATACCCTCCGGCCTCCAGAATCTGATCTGAGAGGATACACCTGAACCTGACCTTTTCCCAGAAGGCAAGAGGCTCAAGGCTTGTGGTGGAAAATGTTATAACTGCTTACAGAAAACCATCGAAATGTTATGTACTGAGTGGCATTTGATGTTTATGCTTTGGATAAACTACCATGTTGATCTGTCATTGGTTCAAAAGCTTTATATAACTGTGCTCTCCCTTCTCAGCCACTACTGATAAGTTAATTTGTCTTACGGAAGACAAGGTCAATTTGAGCACTACCGAAGAAAATAGGGCTGAGCCAGATTTAATTTTTAAGGAATGTGAAACATTCCACTTCTTTGGAGAGGAAGGGTTTGACTCAATTAAAATTGAGTCTAAACTCTTTAAATTTGCAGTCAAGAATAAAGAAATTGTTATTTTTGAGATAAAAAGATCTATGACGCGCAGGATTAGCTTCAATCTTGACTTGGCTACACAAATCATCCGCTATATCTCTCAGCTCACAGGATCTGATCATTACTATGGGCAGCGAAGGAGATTTGGTCCTATTACAATTTCTTCAGAAATTAACAATTCAGGTTGCTTCCTGAAAATTGCTAAAGAAAAAGGAAGTTTCATCTTGATTCCAACGGGTCCAAAAAATTTCAGACTACTTGAATTTCTGGCTATGTTTTCTAATATTGTGGGAATCTCCGTTTTAGTGCAGGAGGAACCAATGCATCTGAAACCCGAAACCACGGCAAACATGGTAGAACCCACGTCAATATCGAAACTTATATTTAATTTTCATATTGAGGGAGCCTACGCAGAGCAACAACAAACTCACACTTCAGAGATCCTTCCCAAAATACCACTAATTCAGACCTACTCAG